ATTCGATCGTTTTAGTTGCATTAGTTCTGATGGTGAGAAGGTGAAACAAAGGTTCAGAGGTTACAGTAGATTTTATTATGACTGCTGCAGGTTTCATCCACTGGGGGGGGTGAAGTCTGCACATCTAGAGACTGGAGAGCACTTCCTGCATGTGGAAAACTGACAACACAGTGTAAAGTATTAGTTCTACATTCATATACTCGGTGATCCAGCCTCTGAATTTAGACATAAACAGAGACGATTCACCTCCAGGTTTCTGCTTGTGTTGTTCTTTGTGTCTGACTGCCTCCTGGTGGTCAAACCTGTGGAGCACAAATACAAAAGCTTTTCTTTACTTTTTCTGTTTAGTTAAAAGATTATTAATATTGAGCTAGAGGGACACTCACCATCAGTCTCCCTTATTCTGATCCATTTGTAGAAGAGCAACACAACAGCAGCAAACAGCACAGTGACACATGTGACCAGAGGCAGGACATGAGCTGAGTGGGTAAGAAGAGACAGAGGAGTAAAAGAAGACATCAGAAAAATTAAATGAATAATAATTAAATCATTATTTAAGTGAATACTTTACCCACTTAAATACCTTTTGATGTAGACTATATAGACAGTATATAAAGTTTATTTATGCTACTTCCAACCACGTCTGCCTTCAAAAATGTACTTTTAACAGCTTAAAAGTGAAAAATTTTCATTTTGTGTATATAGTCATGAATCTGTATATACAAGAGCAGTCAGATGGAAAATATTTTCAAGGACAAGGAAAATACAGGGAGTTCTTTTTGTGTTTTGTTCTCAACATGCTTATTTGTGCTTTCTCGGCTCCCAAGTCCAAGGCATCAACTTTAATTTCACTCAGTACCAGACAATAAAAACACTCCAGAGAGTCACAAGTCAAGCTTTCTGACTGACTCCTAAAATAAGGTTTTAAAAACTTGAAGTAGTCTTTACATTTTGTTATAAGTAACAAAAAAAGGACAGATCTTATTCTGTAGATATGAGAGAGGTAGCTGTGCACACCCGTACCTTTGAAACTAAGAGCCTGAGCTGTTTCGTCAGTCTGCTGCTGTTCAAGCTGCCTCAGTGTCTCAGGGAAAGTCTTCAAGGCTGTGAATAACAAAATAAACCAGTTAATTAATGTAGATGCATGATGCATGAAATACTTTATGACCAACAACTAAGTTTATTGATTTAAATGTAATATGACATTTAAAAGATCAGCAGCTGTCTGTAATCTATAAAAAAAATGAAGGCAAGGCAAGTTTATTTGTATAGCACAATTCAACAACAAGGTGATTCAAAGTGCTTTACAGATATATTAGAAACAAAAACA